TGCCCGTCAGAATCTGACTTGCTCTTGTGGGGCCTGCGGTCGCTGTCATCGTGGTCCCTGAGACTCGATTTCGATCGGGGAGGTGCTTCACGCGATAGCCTATGCGGGTCGTCTGGCGATGCTGTCGACTTCGGCCGGCGTTCCTTGCCATCCACATCGAGCCGCCGCCTCTTCGTCGGCACCTCACCGTCCTCCTTCTCCCCAGTGCTCGAGTGCGGCGGCGTGACGCTTGACCGGTGCCGCTTAGCAGAATGATCGCCGGAAACAGAGAGTCGATCCCTAGACTCGTCCCTCTTGAGAGCCTTTGTACGATCGTGGTACTTCTCTGATAAGGGTTCTCCCTTCGGCTTCTCGGGATGGTCGTCGTGTTTCGGATCGCGTGGGCTTGAGGGGTCCTTCAGAGACGAGGTGGTCGAAACCATGCTAGCGCGGCGGTTCTTTTCCCTTTCACCGCGAAGCTCGCCCTTGGAAATGAGTTTCCTCCGCGGCTTGACAGCCTCCCCTTCAGACGACATGGCAGCAACGTCAGACTCGGCGCGCTTCGCAGCTTTGGCGGATTGCTTTTGTGACAGCGCAGGTGATGCTTCTCTGTCAGAAACTGCAATGGTCGGAACACGGTCTTCTTTTCTAGGCCGGCCAGGACCGCGCTTGGGTGACGTCTGGTCGTCGTGGAATGAATCAGACCGACGCTTTTCCTTTGGACTGGTGACGTTACGATTCGCTGAGATTTTCTTCCGACTCTCCGGGTCGCGTGAAGGGCTAGAAAGGTTGCGCTTGTGCGCTCGGGCTTCGTCTTTGAGTTCATTGCGGCCCTGGCGCTTGGTTTCCCGGTCTTGGTCTCGGTCACGCTCACGCTCCCGCTCCCGTTCTCTCTCACGCTCCCGTCTGTTCGGAGACTTGGTCTTGGAAATATCACGATGCGACTTCCTGTACGCATCGTAAGCTTCCTTGAGCATGTGCTCCTCGTCTTTCCAATTTGTGCCTTGTCGGCGTCGCGCGATCTCGTAGTAGGTTTCTCCCTTGAATCGACGTGTGGGATCAAAGTTTGCCTGGTCCAAGAGCAACCTAACCACCTTGATGTTCTCCTGGCCTATCGCGGCTAGCATAGGTGTCGCGAACTCTGACGGCATATTGGTACTTTGCACCGGTGCAGGGTCTGGGTTTGCGCCACCCAATGCCAAAAGTAGCTGGATAACTACTTCGTGCCCACCCCTGGCAGCCGCTACCATCGCTTCGGAATCGTCGCAACCATCCTTTACCTGGAGGATTCTTGTAACAGTCTCCTCGTCGCCCTTAGCGGCTGCCTGCCGAAGTGTCTTATCATCGAGGGACATGTACAATAAGTAGTTGCTGGTTTTGGTGGCCCTCACAGTACCGGCCCGCCGACCGCTGGCGTGAGATGAAGAAGGGGCAGGTGACCGTCGCGGGCTATCGGGGCCGAGTGATGACCGAGTATCCTGGTGGTCGACAGAATGATGGTCCTCAGATGTTCGCCGGCGTTCGCCTTGTCTGGACTTTGCCTCGATGAGTGCGGCACGAAAATCGGCAGCATTGTCCAGGTCGTCGCTGACTCTGTCGAGAGGTTCCTCGCCGCTCACGTTGGCTTTCCGCGGGTTGACACCCGCGTTCAGTAAAAGCTTCACGACTCCGAGGTGGCCGTTATCAACAGCGTCGAGCAATGGTGTGTCCTTGTCATAATTTACACAATCCAGGTTGCATCCAGCGTCGATGAGAAGCTTCACAATATCCTCGTACCCATTAATTGCGGCGATTTGAAGTGGCGTGTTTCCCGCATAATCGGCAACATTGAGGTCCTCGGGTCGCTCACCGAGTCGTTGCTTTGCAATGTCGTACTCGCCCCTGGCACAGGCTCTAGCGAGGAACGTTTGGCCGTGAGCGTCGAGATGTTTCTTGTGTGGCGCAATTTTGGCAGGTGACATGTTTGACTCGGCAGTGGCGGGCGTCGAGAGATTCCGTAGCTTGGAGCTCCGGGGATGAGGGCTGCCGCTCGCTGAAGACTCATCCGAGTGATAGTCGGTGGACTGGAGCGGGGGAGGCAAACGCTTCTTCTTGTAGCTCAGGCCATTTGACGAGTTTGCAGGAAGCTGCGTCGAAATGCTCCGTCGGTGGGCACGTGGGTTGTGGGGAGATACGGATCTGGTACGAGATCCTGAGTGGCCATCGGTTTCTCTCTTGGAAGAGGACATCTTGTGTTCCCTGGGGGCTCGGATCGGTCGAGAATCAGCCCCGGCGTCAGAAATACGTTGTCGTCGAGCCTTGCGATTCTCGGCCTCGTCCTCCGAGTCTGCCTTGGGAGCTTTGCGTTTGTGAGTAAGTGTCCGATCGGTGGATTTGGCTCGGTCTTTCATGGACAGCTTGGGAGATTTCCTACGGTCAGCACCCGTGTCGGAATCGGAATGGTTACCAGATCGACGTCTCGGGGGAGAAGCAGGAGCCGAGCTGAGGCCGCTGGAGCCATCTTTACTTCGGGCGGATTGGTCCTGGAGGCGTTTCTTTTTCAAGCCCAACGAAGATGCTCCTTCAGACAGCAAACGGGGAGGGTTGACGGGTTTGTCTCTGTCGGCATCTCTGGCGGCACTGGCATCACGAATCTTGCGGGGGACCTGGGGCTCTCCGTCGCTGCGATCCTCGTGCTTTACCTTTCTCGCCTTGGAGGGCGAGTAGCCATCCTTACCGGGTAAGACGATGGTTTCGGCATCCGAGTCTTTCTCGGCGGGAGCGTCGTCGGCAGCAGGAGGCGCGCGAGATACGATTACGCTGGGCTTGACATCCTTTGCAAGGACAGGCGGAGATTTGATGGACTCGTCGGCGCTCTTTGGTTTGTTGTTGGTGGACTCCTTGGACTCGTCAGGCTGGTGATTGCCCAGTCGCTTCTCCGCAGCAGCGACGGGCTTCGGCTTGTCGGACCCGGCAGCATTCTGCGCATCCATATCATTTATCTGAAGGTCGAAAAACTGGCCAGCACCATCCTGGCCAAAGGTCGGCCACGAGTGAGAGAAAATGAGGGCGTGGGCGAATTGGTGTTGTGTTGACTGATTGAAATCGCGGTCGGGTGGACGGAGCGGAGCAGCTTCTCGGTCGCCAAAGAGAAACGCCCCTAAGAGAAAGTGGCCAGGTTAGTCACGGGGGCGCGGTGTGTTGGCGACTGACGGGGCAGCGGTGCGGTGTCGGGGTCGGAAGTGTCGTAAAACCGGATCACGAAGACGATAAAGGAAATAAAAAAGACAAAGGAAGCGCCTGGCCGGAGTAATGATGCGTGTGGTTCGATGGACGCGGGCGTGGGTGGAAATGCTGGAAAAGGCTGTCTTGGTGACGCTTGACGCTTCGATCGGTTTGGCTGAAGGTGGAAATGGGGCCGCGAGAGTCTTCAGAGTCAAAAAGTCTGATCGCCACCTCTTTGATTGGACCCGACGGGGGACGCTTGGGATAGGAGGAGGAGGAGGAGCAGCAGCAGCAGCAGTAGTGCTAACAACAACAGACAGCGAAGGAGCACCAGCCAGCAAGGCGACCAGCAAGCAGTACCAAGGCAGGCAGAAAAGCGGTAGCGTAGCGCAATGGCAGTCAGTCGTGTCGGTTCTGTGGCAGTGGCAGTGTGAGTGAGTGCGTGTGTGTGCCTCTGCACAATTTGTGGCAGCCTGACGGCCGACTTGGGTGGGCACACGAGGACGAAACTACGTACTCGATTCGAGGTACTTGTAGATGCTGCATCCTTTTGGTGCATCATCAAGTATCCCCCAGCCCGCACTAGCCAAGCTAAACAGGATACAACCTGGCAGCAGTCCCGGCAGCCACCTTGCTTCAGAGAGAGACGGCAAGATAGCGGACGGGACTGCCGTGTCGTGTGTGCTCAATCTCACCCGACTGCTAGGAAGGTTCTGCCACTTGCCATCCTACTGCCTCGTCTCCCTCTCTCTCTCTCTCCCCCGTCCGTCTGCAGTTTGCAGCTGCACACCGCGCATGCTGTTATGCAAGTTGAAAAGTGCCTTACCTCGAATACGCTGCCACGCTGCATTAGACCATGACCAGCAGAGGCAGCAGCAACACGCAGCAGCTCTCCTGACCGACCCTGGCTGCCAGCCTGCGAAATTTCCCTTCAATTCAAAACAAGGCCTGACCGACCATTCAAACGAGACTTTGCCCGGCTTGCCTGCAAATTCGCTTTCTTGAATGAAAACCAGCAGCACTCGCGGTACGTACCCGTAGGTGCTGCTACGCGGTGCTGCGACATCGAAGATACGTACCGAGCGCTGCAGTTTATTCGGATCCACCTTGGCCAATCCCGCGTTCCCAACCTCCTGCAGCGTCGCAGCAGGCTGCTCTTCCCCCCTCCGCCATCGTACCCACCCTGTCGTTCTCATCCTCGCCGTCGTCGCATCTTGAATTGAATCAGCGAATCACGAACCACATCGAAAACGGAGCTCTGGGAACTGGGAACGGCCACCGCACCATCGCAATCCCACCTGCCTGTGACTAATCCTCTTGCCGTCTCCCGCTTCGGCCTAGCGCCATTCTTCCAGCAGCAGTCACCAGCGTCCGTTCTCCAACCCCTTTGTTCCAGCGCCACACTGCCATCTGTCGACTTGTTCAACCGACTGGCGCAGCTCCCGCGCTCGAACCTCTTCGACCTGAGGCCTTCACAAACACGTCCTTCTCCCCTCCGCTTCCAGCTCCCAGCTGCCGTCCTTGCTTCTCCACCAAACCTTTCCCATCCCGTCATCTGATTGCTTGGATCCTCCCAGCTCAATGCAGAACCGTTTGACGCTTGGCTTCCGTCGCCGGCCTACCCACCCTCTAGAGCTTTGAGCTTACATCGTCGACCTTGCTCCTCGTGTCGACAAGCTTCGTTGTGCCTGACCTTCCCGACTTCCACCTTACTCGAATTCGCCCTACATAAGGTTGGACGACGCACCAGATCACACCGACCGCGTGCCAACTATCGAACACCCTACAACACACAGCCCCCACGTGAAGCCCGGAAAATGGAGCTTGGAGCTGTAAACCTACCCACTTCCCTTGAAGACGTAAGGATCACGAAGCTTCCGCCTTCTGCGTTTTACATTGCGGACTTCATATCCGAGGAGGAAGAGCAGGCCATCTTGCAAAAGGTACGGAAGCCTTGACCTAGACCTTTACGCCAACCTCATAGCTGACCACTGCTGCCTTGCCCAACAGATAGCTGATGCCCCGAAACCCCGCTGGAAACAACTGACTCATCGCCGTCTCCAAACATGGCCGTCTGATCTCGTTCAGAACAAGCTGATCGATGCTCCATTGCCACCATGGCTACAAGAGCCCGTCGTCTCGCGAATTCTTTCCTTGCCTCGCGCCACTGCTCCTGATTCGTCCAACCTCTTCAGCGAAAGCCCTCACCAACGGCCGAACCACGTGCTGATAAACGAGTATCCTCCAGGAGTCGGAATCATGCCTCATAAGTTAAGTACATGGTAGGTTTACGCGTGAAGGCTCAAATCTCATAGTGTCTGCAGGATGGACCCGCCTATCATCCAGTAGTATGCACTGTCAGCTTGGGAGCAAGCTTGTGTCTGAATCTCTACCAAAGCAAAGAGGACGGTGCGTTGGATCCGGAGCCTGTGTGGCGCATTCTTCAAGAGCCCAGGAGCCTACTCATCACCACCGATGACCTTTACACCGATTATCTCCACGGCATTGCCGACACTGACGAAGACGTCGAGTTATCCGCCGATTCCATTGTGAACTGGGACTTGTTGCGATCCAAGGATCATTATGCCACCGGCCGAAACGTGCGCGCAACCAGAACAAGCCTCACATACCGAGATGTCATGCAAGTGTCGAAGCTCGGGGCCAAGTTTGGCCTGTTTGGAAAGAAGTGATATTGGCTCGAGTGAGTCTAGGAGAAGTCTAGAAGAGGAATGGAATCATTTTCCATTTGCTAGCCACCTTTTCGGCACCAAACTTTTGCGCATACCACTCCTTGGTTCCGTCGGCGGTTGTGCCGAGGTTTGCTACAATGAACCAGAAAGCACTGAGAAGCGTACGATTGATCCATTGGCCCTTCGGTGCGGCTGCGATGGCAAGTCCAAGATAAAGGAGGCACTCGCAGGTGTAATGAGGGCAGATGAGATATCGAAAGAGACCACGCTCAGGAAGCGAATACTTCTTCAGGCTGGCCAGGTGTTTATGGCACCAATTTTGCATCGTCCAGCCGTACAGGTACATGGCGACTCCGATGACCGACTGGAACGACAATAGGGCCTCCAGATTCCTCTCTGACGAAGCACGGAGGGCGGCTGAGGAAGTTAGTAGAAGCCGGTGATGATGCGGGCGAAGAGACTCGCCTGATCCATCAACCCAGACCGACACACTCATGCAGAGATAGAACCCTAGGCCTAGCAACCAATGGACAAACCACATTTTGGAAGATCCGGGCTTCATCACAAAGAAGCACTCATAGAGTCTACGTGAGCCTTGCAGCGCCATCAGTGCCCAGATGAGGATGGTCTGCTCGAGGCTCATGGCGGGACTTGCCGACTGCGCCTGTCTGGCCGCAATCAATCTGAGAAAGGGGCCGTCTCGTAGATACTCGAACGCCCAGAAGGCTGAGCCCGCGATCGAGGCGACGTAGAAGTGCATGAACCATGCGTGTGGGATCTGGCCGATGGAGGCGAAAGCTTTGACGAGGTCGTTGAACATGTTTGTGGCCTGCGGCCCGTCTCCCTTCGTCTGGTCATCGGTGGTGGCCGGCGAGCGTGCGCCGTAGTCGAGTATCGCGTGCTGAGCTGCCTTGGGTATCACTTGTATGGCCAGCACGGCGGCTGAGGAGAGGCCGAAGAAGACCTGGCACCATTGGGCCGGGGAAAGGGCCGAGGCGGCGGTTGTGAGGGAGTCCATGGTGATGCTGGAGGACAGGCCCTGGTCGTGATGCATGCAAGCCAGGATGTGTTGGACACAGTGTCGGGGTATGATTGGCACTGAGGTGAGATCCTAAGGGTGTCCCCGGATCATCGATCCCGCGGGTCCGGCTTTCTCCTCGGGCCAGGCCGTGCAGCTGCGCCCGCCCCCTCGAAGTGGAATATCAAGGTCACGCCCTCACCACGAAGAGCCCTGCCGATTGAGGCTGAAAAGCGCCCTCCCCCAACTACCGGCGCAAGGGACTTTTCAACCCGTGCATAAGCCTGCCGCTTCCCGCCGTGCTCCGCCCGCCGCCCGGCGAAAGTGAGGCTGCTGGAGGCAGGCTCTGTCGAGTAGAGGCAGGCTGCCGTGGAGGCGCAGCGCCCTGGATGCAGATGCAGGCAGCCAGGGCGCCTCACTTCATGTGGCAGACGGAGGCCGCAAAGACATGCACTTTACAGAGGTTTGGATTGCAGTGAAATAGGGGTTGTATTTAGCTGTGCCTGAGGCCCGGCCTCAGGTTTCTATGGCTCACTTGCGTATCCCCCTGATTATTGACCTGTGACAGGAAAGTTGCCTCTCTAATGGCTGCGAGTGTGAATGAAGTGTGAACTTGAGCCAGCCTGAAAACCGCCCATGTAGGTGCCCATGCATATCTTTTCACCCCTTGTGAAGTTGGTTGTCCGGTTGCAGAGCCTGATCCATTTTCGGCGTGGCGACGTGGTCTGAGGCGGGCTGCCTCGCGTCAGCCTCAGCGTGGTGCGCGAGTGTGGTTCGCAACCCTCTCCAAACTGAAGTATAAAGCAGGCTAGGTTTCCCTGTCGTGCATCCTCTTCTTCATCCCAACCACCACAATCGTAAACATCACTACCACCTATAGTCTTTCATCCTCTCAAGATTAGCTTACATATTCGTTCTTCATCCTACACAAGTGACTCTTCCCCTGCATTGGGGAAGGGGAGGGTAGGATGAATGTGAGTTGAGCGAGACAATGAGAGGAGGTCGGGACATCTTGGCGATCTGGAGGGATGTTTGGTTGAATGACGAAGTGTCGAGTTTATGGCTTGGAGGTGAAAGCGATCGTGGTATGAGGCAGGATGAGCGTCAGTCGGATATCGATATTAGTGACGTGATGGGTGATATGGCTTTGATATGCTTGTATATACAAGTAGATTGGAAGCCGTAAATATTTTCCAAGGTAGTGTCGTAGAAAGGCGTAGACTGAATGATCCTACAGTATGGTGGACATATCCGATAATATGGTTGTTGTAGATGAGTGTGGAAAGGGGTGAAGATAAGTATGAGAATAAACGATGCCATACATGTCATGATCAAGAAAAGATGATTCGCGTCTCCAGTCTGGCATCCTCTCCACTAGGGAGGAAGTTCCCAGGCAACACCACGGGGAGGTTTGGAGTCCGGCTTCGTTGCCCAGAGAAGTAGTGATGAGGCTCACCGGGGCCATAGCGGAGCTGAGGGAGGAAGGCCTCAGCAGGAAGAAGAGGACCGGGGGGAGAACCCAGCCTCGGGTAGGGAGAGAGAAGGAAGGGAGTGAAGAAGTAGTGATCAGGCTCACCGGGGCCATGGCGGAGCTGAGGGAGGAAGGCCTCAGCAGGAAGAAGAGGACCGGGGGGAGAACCCAGCCTCGTGGAGGGAGAGAGAAGGAAGGGAGTGTCCTTTGGACTTTGAGTAGTGCTGGCCTGGTGTGCTGATCTGAGTGGTGAGTGCTGTGAGGTTAGTATGCCCTATGGACTTTGAGTAGTGTTGGTCTGAGGTGCTGAGTGATGAAGCTGTGAGGTTAGTATGTCCTATGGACTTTGAGTAGTGTTGGTCTGAGGTGCCGAGTGGTGAAGCTGTGAGGTTAGTACGTCCTATGGACTTTGAGTACTGTTGATCTGAGGTGCTGCTGAGTGGTGAGAGTAGTGAGGCTGTGAGGTTAGTATGTCCTATGGACTTTGAGTACTGCTAGTCTGAGGTGTTGAGGCTGTGAGGTTAGTATGTCCTTGGGACTTTGAATGTTGCTGTAAAAGTGAGTGTGAGATGGGAGGGTGAAGGAGAGAGAGGGCGAATGAGATGAAGGATGAGAAGGAGAGATGGAGGATGAGAAGAAGAGATGGAGGATGAGAAGAAGAGACGGAGGATGAAGGAAGCCAGGGGAGGGGTGGGCTTTATAAAGATTGTGCCCCTCGCATCCATCACCTGCTTGCCTGAAACCCGAAGGGTGGACATAGAGGTGATGATGAAGGGTAGAGCACAGGAGTCACTGCCGAGGGCAGATGTGATCAGATGGGATGGAGAGAGAAGAAGAGATGGAGGAAGGGAAGGGGAAGGAAAGGGCTTTATACCTGATTGTGCCCCTCGCATCCACCACCTCCATGCCCAGCACCCGAAGGGTGGACAAAAAGGTGATGATGAAGGGTGGAACACATGAATCACTGCATAGAGCAGATGTGATCAGATGTAAAGATGGGATGGAGAGAGAAGAAGAGAAGGCTGGATCTGGGAGCGAGGATCCCATTATATGTGTTTTCCGAGAGGCCCTCGATCACTCGATCAACCTTGCTTGGTTTGTGATTAAGCTGATGACCTGGATAGTACTGCTAGTCATTTTGATGGCCTATCAACAGCCCGAGCTTGAACTCTCGCCGAAAGGTAGGTTATGAGAAAGCTCGGTTGTGTCAAAATGTACCCGGAGAGCTGCCTGTCCGGGTGAAAAGGAGTCGTACCTACCCAGTATTTGCATCACTTTAAGACCTTGACGTCGGATGCTGGGTCTGATTATCATAGCAGGACTGCGTTTGGAACGACGTCGAACATTCTCAGAGACGCGATGCCTGGAATTATGCTCGCTGCCAACATCGTGTATGGGCTACGGGTGGCTTTTTCGACACCGAAAGCCACACCCAAAGGTACCTTAAATGCCGGAGAAAGCCTTTGGTTCGGCGAACTCAGACCAGACCAAAGCATCTATGTCGGATATAGATGAGATAATACACGAACAGAACGAGACAGAAACCACTGGACGATGGCCATCATAGACACCTGAAGGGGTTTGTGTAGGTCATGACGAGAGAGCCTCTTGTGGTCTGTAGCGACCTGCTTTTGCGAAAATGGCAGCAAAGCTTAATTCAACTCGCCACAATAGGGCATAGTGTCAAAAAGCGTTCACGATGTTGACCTATTTAATTTTTCTTTTCATCAAGGATAGTGATGCTCGTGGATTTTTGGATTGAGCCTCAACCGAGATCTATATTCAGGACCGTCACTTCAGCACATGGGCAAGCCCTCAAAGACAGACCGACGACGTCGATTTCTTTGCGGGCATTCTGCCATTGAATGGATCAGCCGTAGGAAACGAAATGATTGTGTTTGTGAAGTCTTTGTTCCGCTGTTTGTGGCGACATCTACAACGGGTGAGCAGTCTTCAATCAGAGGATGTCTTAAGGTTGAGATCCTGAGAGTAGAATGAAGGCTGTTCAAAACCGGGGTGGTAAGACCGCAGACCGAAGGGCCAAGTTCATAGCCTTCACTCGCCCTCGCTTGTTCATGCGAGTCCTTATCCGCCAAATTTCTTTATAACCAACCATAGTTGCCCCCGAATAGTTCTTCAGCAATAGCTGGTGTTTTTGTCTGAGTTAGAAATACTACTCATGGAGTTACTGGCTTCTAAATGCTGAACCCAGCTCCAGTGACAGCAAGCCATGAGACAGACTCAAGCTACTTTAAAGCTTGGGCGTGGATATTCATGAAGTATCAACACCGGAACCGGAAGGACATTGAAGATTGACAAGAACACGAAGAGATTGGGACAAGATCTTTCCTTCGGAGGAATGAACACCATGCCGACGCGTAAGTTGATGAGCCTTGCCTATAAGGTATTTGTGCGTAAGCCAATATACCAGCCGAGATTATATTGCTGTCCCCAAAGCAATACATCTTGACAATTGAGGTGTCTTTTTATATTGTTTATGAATCAAACAAG